AACACACTTTTCTTCTGACAGCCAGAAAGGTTAGAGAAACATATGTTTTAAGGAGCAAAGACTCAAATGTGTTCCGTTAATTGTTGGCAGCATGATGTCAAATGTGACTAGCTGTGAATTATTAATATAAATTTGCTAGAGGCTTAGGCAGCGGGTGCACGTTGTTTTATTGAAGTTACATAAAAAAAGTAAATGTTACACCAGAATATTTCATTAAAAAGGATCATTTTAACACCTCTGTTCCCATCCTTTGCAGATTGGTGACCTCTGATTCAAAGTCAAGTGTTCACCCTCACCCTTGCCTTTTTAACTCTTTTACGGTATCCACAATGCTAAGCCTGGTGTGTGTGTTCAAGAGGTTGACAGGATACTTAAACATGAATAGGGCCCTACCAAATTCGCCATCCATTTTGGCCAATTTCACAGTTACGGGATTTTACAAATGCAAATCTGAAATTTCATAGTGTTGTAATTGTAGGGGTCTAGACCCAAAAAGGAGTGGGGGGAGGGCGGAGGGAGCGCTGCAAGATTATTAGGGTGGGGTTATAATATTGATACTCTTCTCCACTTTCTTCAGAGCTGGACAGCTGGATAGTGGAGTCTGCTGGCTGGTACTCCAGCTTGGAAGCCAGAGCTGCCACCCACAGCCATACAGTAATAGGGATGGCAGGGTATGGTATTGCCGCTTTCACTTCTGTGCTGCTGCCCACAGAGCTGGGCATTTAGCAACAGCCACCACTCTACATCTGCCCAACTCTGCAGGCTGCAGCTCAGACGTACGGGTAGTATGGTATTGCCACCATTACTTAGCACCTTGCCAGCAGAAGCAGCCTTTAGAGTTGGGTATTTGGCTGACAGCCCAGTTCTGAAGGTAATGCAGAAGAAAGAGTGGCAATACCGTGACCTACAAAAACCTTGCAACCCCCTGCAACTCCTTTGTGGATCAGGACCCCCAGGAAGAGGGTGAAAGCGCACCAACGATCTTAGAATCACAGAGCTGGAAGAGACCTCAGGAGGTCATATAATCCAACTCCCTCCTAAAAGCAGGACCACTCCCAACTAAATCAGCCAGCCAGGGCTTTTTGAAGCTGGGACTTAAAAAACCTTCTAGGGATGGAGATTCCACCACCTCCCTGGGTAACCCATTCCAGTGCTTCACCACCCGCCTAGTGAAATAGTTTTTCTTAATATCCAACCTAGACCTCCCCCACTGCAACTTGAGACCATTGCTCCTTGTTCTGCCATCTGTCACTGCTGAGAACAGCCTCTCTCCATCCTCTTTAGATACTTGAAGGCTGCTATCAATCCCCCCTCACTCTTTTCTTCTGTCAACTGGATAAGCCCAAATCCCTCAGCCTCTCATAACTCATGTGCTCCAGCCCCCTAATCACTTTTGTTGCCTCTGCTGGACTTTCCCAATGCATCCACATCCTTTCTGTAATGGGGGCCCAGAATTGGATGCAGTACTCCAGATGTGACCTCACCAGTGCCAAATTAAGGGAAATAATCACTTCCCTAGATCTTCTGGCAGTGCTCTTACCAATGTACCCTAATATGGTACATTCATAAGAACACTGTCAGGGTGGTTAAACAGTGGAATAAGTTACCTAGGGAGGTTGTGGAATCTCCATCACTGTAGACATTTAAGAGCAGGTTGGATAGACATCAGTCAGGGATGGTCTAGACCAGAGTTCACCTTTTCAAAGAGGCATGCCATCATTTAACCCTCCTGCCCTGGGCTGAGCCACTCGCCTGGGAGGGGGTGAGGGCTCTCTCCATCGTGCACCCTGCTTGGTCTGCCCTGGGCTCCGCTCCGGTTTTTCCTGTGGAGAGAGGAGGAGCAGTGCATGCTCACTTCCACAGAAGCTAGCTGAAGCGCAGAGCCTCGGGGCTTCTCTTCCCTTCCCACTCCTGCAGGAAGCCAGCGCTGGCTCCAGTTTTGTGGGGGGAACAATGCTGGATCACCAGCACAAGCTGGGGTCAGAGTGGCGCGGGGAGGGGGTATTCAGGGAAACGGGCAAGGTGAGGGTGGGTAGTGGGTAACCCCAGGGTGTCCCGCGGGAGGTCCAGTCCATGGCACCTTTGTCTTACTGCCAGAGACCCAGGGGCCAATGAGGCTTTGGAGCAGGGGAAACCCCCCCCCCTCCGCTAGCCCAGGCAGCACTCACCCACTGGAGGCCCAGTGGTGGTGGTGATGCTGGTGGCTGGGTGTGACTTCAGCGCTATCTTTAACCCGCCTGCCGGGGGCACTGCAAGACAGGAAGGGAGGCAAGCGGAGTGGGCAGTGCTGAGGCTGCAGGGCTTGGGCAGTGCAAAAGGGCAGAAAGTGGTGAGCTGGAGGAGGCGGGGACGAGCCTCCCACACAAAGGTGGCAGAGGGGCTGAAAGGTGGCTCTACACCCCTTCCCCACCCTCCTCCAAAGCAGGAAAACAGCGCCCCAGAGCAAGGCCCCTGTGGCCACAGCACCCAGCCTGCCTCCAGCAGTTGGCATGGGGGCACTCTGTTCCACCACGCAGCCTAGACACCCCTGGAGTAGCTCCAGAGCCCAAAGCAGCCACGTACCCCCACTGGCTGGGCCACGTGGCTTCCAAAGAGCAGGAACTGGGGTTGTATTGAGGCTGTCCCTGCAGTGCAACCCGGCTCCAGCCATGGCACATGGGGCAGCTGCCCATCACGCAGTCCCACCAGCCAGGTGGCATGCCCCTCAAAATAGGTTTGTGCGCTACTTATGGCATATGTGCTGTAGGTTGCCGATCCCGATCTAGATGGTGCTTGGTCCTGCTGTGAGGGCAGGGGACTGGACTAGATGACCTCTTGAGGTTCCTTCCAGTTCTAGTGTTCTATGGTTCTAGGAGTCCGTTGGCTACAAGGGTGCACAGTTGATTTATATCCAGCTTCTCATCCACTGTAATCCCCAGGTCCTTTTCTGCAGAGCTACTGCTTAGTAGTTTGGTTCCCAGGCTGTAACGGTGCTTGGGATTCTTCTGTCCCAAGTGCAGGACCCTGCACTTGTCCTTGTTGAACCTCATCAGATTTCTTTTGGCCCAATCCTCTAAACTGTCTAGGTCACTCTGGACCCTATCCCTACCCTCCAATGCATCTACCTCTCCCTCTAGCTTAGTGTCATTCGCAAACTTGCTGAGGGTGCAATCCACTCCTTCATCCAAGCCATTAATGAAGATATTGAACAACCAACCCTAGAACTCATCCTTGGGATATTCCACTTGAAACCCGACTGCCACCCAGACACTGAACTGTTGATCACTACCCATGGAGCCTGACAATCTAGCCAGCTTTTTATCTACCTTACAGTCCATTTATCCAATCCATACTTGCTGGCCAAAACACTGTGGGAGACCATATCAAAAGATTTGCTAAAGTCAAGGTATATCACATCTACTGCCTTCCCCAGTTACCTAGTCACAGAAGGCAGTCAGGTTGGGAGGCATGGCTTGCTTGCGGTGAATCTATGCTGACTGTTCCTGATCACTTTCCTCCCTTCTGTGATCTTTCCAGAGTCTTAGGTGAGGTTGACTGGTATGCAGTTGCTAGGATTCTCCGCCTTCCCTTTTTTACTCTCACTCTCACTCTCACTCTCACAGCTCTCCAATCACATCAAACCAACTGCTTCAGCACTCTCAGATTCATTAGATCCGGCCCCATGGATTTGTACATGTCCAGCTTTTCTAAATGCCCCTCTTAACCTGTTCTTTTCTACTGAGGTTGCCCAACTCTTCCCCATACTGTGCTGCTCAGTGCAGCCGTCTGGGAGCTGACCTTGTCTGTGAAGACAGAGGCAAAGAAAGCATTGAGTACTTCAGTTTTTTCCATATCATCTGTCACTAGGTTACCTACCTCATCCAGTGAGGGTCCCACCCCTTCCCTGCCACCCTTATTCCTAACATTCCTATAGAAACCTCTTGCTAGTTTTTACATCACTTGTTAGCTTCAATTCCAGTTGTGCTTTGGCCTTCCTTATTACACCCCTACATGCTTGAGTAATATATTTATACACTTCCCTAGTCATCTCTCCAAGTTTTCACTTCTTGTAAGCTTCCTTTTTGTGCTTAAAAACGCAAAGATTTTGCCGGTCGCCTACCATATTTGATTTTCTTACTGCACATCGGTCCAAGACACATTTTTGGAGGCTGTAATTTGTTAGGGACATAAACATGAAGGATAAGGTTGAGCGCGGTGAGCAAAATATTCTTTCCTTTAGGTGATAGTAAATTTTCAGTGCTTTTCATGACCCCCTGGAATTTACAACCCACTGTTTGAAAAGTTGCATTACAGCATAAATCAAGATGTTTTCTGGGATGTCCGCTCTTTAACCATCCCTATTCTAGTTCAGATGAGAATTATGAGGGGTAGCTTCCTACCCAGTAGAAAGTAAATCAGATGAACAACATAAATCCAAGTTTCATAAACAGTGACCTGTGGCCTGGACTATGAAATACTTGCTGATTTTCCATGGAGTGCTGCCTGGTTAATAGGAACTGGCTCTCCTCCTTGTTTTTGCTCCACTGGATCAGACCAGATGGTACAGGGAGATGAAATGAAGAGCAGTCACAGCATCACTAATTATCCTCCTCTCTCTCCCCCCCCAAAAAAAGGAACAGCCGGGCATGCAGAAATACTTTCCCAATATTATTCTTCCATGTAAGCAATTGCTGTAGTTGGCACAAGGGTGGGAAGGGAGATGGGTCAGACTGTCACAAATGTGAAGAAAGGTGTCTCTGTCTCCAGAAAGAGCTAACGCACAATCAGTATTCTTAGATCTGAACTTTCTATATTCTAGTTATCGGAAGTAGTGGGTTGTACGCACGAAAGCTCATGGATACCATTTACATGTTTTGTTAGTCCTTAAGGTACTACTAGACTATCCATTTTTTAAAAGGTTTTTCTAGTTACAGACTAACCCAGCAACCCCCTAAAAAAATTGAGAATGCTTATTATACACAGTTGACACATTCTGGCCTGAAAATACTCTTTTGTTACAGAAGGGGAAACATGGAGTGGTCACTAATCCCTGAAAATGACCCCAGCAGCTACACCCCCCACTTTGGAGAGGTACAGGACTGAGGAGACTAAGAAAAGATTGTCATGGAAAAAAAAAACAGGGTGACATCACTCCATGTTTTACTGAAGCTGCGGGGAGCATAAAGGTGAGTTCACTAGCCATCTGTGATTGCCTTGTTGTTTCTTCTGTTGACCAAAATTGTGCATTTAAAGAGCTGCCTGAAAAAGGAACGCTTTTCATAGTGTCTCTGATAGATTTACAGACCTACTATATAGCTACAAGAGATACCTGAAGGTTTGTTATACATATGGTCTATTACTGCTCCCGGCCATTACTCCTGACATCAGACAGCTGGAATGTTCAAGTCAATAACCCATGTATGTGTACATCCTGCATAGGAGGCACACTCAAGGGACTCTAGCCTTTACTTTCCCCTCTTGGTACTTTGGTTTTGGGAAGCCATGCAGTGTGCTCTCTCTCACTCAGGCTTCTCCTAAGCGGGGTTTGATGATGGAGTTCTTTATTATCTTTAGTTGACATTATTCAGCTGATACATGTGTGATTTTAGAGTTATTTTTGGTGTATGGGCCTCAAAGGCCACAATAGACCCATTTCTACAAGCTGAAAGAATAAATAATTCCAGTTAATGGAGGCTCAGCTGTGAGCTCTAAATTGGTTTTGCAGCATAGTTCATCTAGCTTGCCAGTAAAATGTAGGTCCAAAAATCTACCACCTAGAACACAGGCAGCAGCCCCTGTGCCCTTGAACATTGCTCCAAATACCAGCAGGAGAAAAAGCTAATGGCAGTGGGTTTTCTCCTTTTTAAAGCCAGATTCAGCTTGAGTACCTGCGTCTAGAATACTGTACTGGTTTTCAAGCTACTTGTGGAGTGTTTCACAAGTAGCTTCAAAAGTTATCTTCTTTGCTGTTTAAATCAGATTACATAAAGAATGTGTTTCTCGAGAAATGCGAGCAGCAGGAGAGGTGTCCTTGAATATTCCTGCAACACTCTGGTCAGGAAAAAAAAAAAAAGAAAAAATGTTATATAAAAGCTCGCTTTTGAGCAGAGTAGATCACACTGAAAAGAAGACTGTGGTCGAGATGCTGGGTAGCTTCCTCATTAGGGATGTTACAAAACAGGTAATTGAGTAACCATGTAAGCAGCATGGGGTTGACAGCTGGCTCCTCAGGAGCAGGGTGGGAGCCCGTGCGTGACTATTCACGCGAACCGATAACACAGATTTATGTCAACAGTTATACTATTACATCCCTTTCTCTGGTCCCCAGTGCACAGGTGCCCCTTGTGTTATAAATTACTTCCACCTCAAGCTCCTTGTCCAGGGTACTGTTGTATGATGCCTCCCCATTGAAGCCCATGGTAATGACAGGCTCTGCCTATTTATTACTAACTGGCTAGGCATTACCCTTCTTTCCCACCTTACACAGGGAGCAGAGGCTTAAGCAGGCATGGGAACATGAGGAGTGAGTTCGTGCATCTTCAACAGAAATATTGTGAGAGCAGCTCTGTGTTTCTGCCCCACTGCCTCCTACGGCCCAAGCCCTACCTGTGGAGCAGATAGGAAGAGCTACACCCTGACCTCCCTCCTCCACTTGATGCTCTATCACCACATTCCAAGCGAGCTTTCACTGCTTCTGGGATTGGTATCTCCAGGATGGAAGTGTTCTTGCTCCAGGGTCACCAGCACAAGTTTACTCTCTCCCCCTTTGTTAATGCAGTGGTACATGCCGGAAACTGCTGATCACCAAAATGAAGGCGTTAGCCCTCCTTGGCCAATTGGCTTATCTAAATGGGTTCTTTGCCTTCCAGTAAGTTCCCGTCATCCCTTCTGTTGTATATAGTCCTCAATGGACAATTGCCATTTGGAGGACTAGGATTTTTGTTTTGTACATGAGTGGACATGGGGATAGTCAAAATGAGTCGGGCTTGCAAAACTGACTTGGGCGTGAGTGTCATGGTAACTTTATTTTTAAAAACCTTGTCTTAAGGCTGGTCCACTCGAATGCTGTAAGTCGAGCTAAGTTACTTCAGTTCTGTAACGTACATAACTAAACTAAAGTTGATATAATTTAGGCCAATTTACAGCAGGCTGCATGCAGTTCAAAGGGTTAGCCGCTGGTGAGCCACCAGACATTTTATTTACCTGCGCATCTGCTGACATGGCTGCTTGCAGCTCCTGTCAGCCACAGATCACCATTCCCAGCCAATGGGTGCTGTGGAAAACGGAGCAAACTGAGATACCACTTCCTGCAGCTCCTATTGGCCAGGAACAGCCAACCACGGACAGTGGAAGCTGCAAGCACCTGTACCTGTGGATGTGCTGGTAGGTAAAAAAGAGTGTGTGTCAGCCTGCCTGGTGCTAACCTTCGCGAACTGCATCGTGTGCGTGAACCACTTCTTGTCTACCCCCAAGTTACAGCATCGTCTATAATGTGCTATGTTGTCAGGAGACACTTTCCCATTGACTGAGCAGGTCTCCACCAGACCCACTAAATCAACACTGCAGCATCAATCACAGCAGTGCCCATTTAGCCAGTAGTGTAGACATGGCCTTAGTTTGGATACCAGTCGGTGGGTAGGTATTAAACTAACTTGATATCCAGAAACCAGGCTTTGTTCATCTATATCATGGACCTAGGGGGGGCCAACAGACTCGCTGGGCCCCTGTACAAGGTCGGGGAGGCCAGCTCCCCTCTCCTAGAAGGGGTGGAGCCTCTTGAGTGTGGTGCTCTGGTGGCGATTTAAAGGGCTTAGAGCTTTGTCTGCCGCCACTCCTGCAGTAGCAGCCAGGAGCCTTGCACCCTTTTGAATTGCCAATCCCCAGGGCAACTGCCCCTTATCTCCTTCCTCTGCCAGTGACACTGCAGGGACCAAAGAAGCCAGCAATAGAACCAAGAGGAGGGCAAGCTAGATCTTTAGCACAGGTAGAGAATCTCTTCCTGGCTGGAAAGCAGTGTCTCCTGTAAGCTGAGGGCTTAGGTGACCACCTAGGAGAGTTTTAAATGCTGCCCAGCTAATTAGCAGAGCGCTCACAGCACCCAAGTCGGCAGCATGTGTTTCTACTGGTGGTGCACATCCATATATGGTGCAGTGCACACAACAAAATGTATTCTGCATATGAATGGAAAAATGTTAAAGGGAACGCTGATGTTGAGTAGAATGCAAGATTGATTCCTATGGTATTAGGGAGACATGGCTGTGCCTTCGGATGAGTCCTAGCAGGCTAAGAATGAAGCAAAGCAAGCACAGGGACATGGTGTCCTATTCACATCTTGAGTTTATAATTCTTGGGCCAAATTAAGCTGGTCTAAGTAAAGATATGGGCATAAGCTCTCTGTTATATTACTACATTTTATTACTTTCTATGTTATATTACTAACATTTCAGAGTAACCTGTGGAGCGGAGGAGGGGTACTGTAAACTGCAGAGATTATTAATCTCTTCGCTTGTTTTAATGACCTCATTTTAGAAAGAAACATTCTCTACTGTAGCCTTGTCAGCCATAAAAATACCCAATAAATAAAGATACTGTATTAAGAAGCTTATAAAAGGTATCACTTGCAGTCAGAAAATAGGAAATCTGTGCTACTGTTTTGGAGATCAGGGCCTGAGAGTCCCCCTTCCCCAATCTAGTAATCAGCTGTAACTCCTACCAGCTGTTCCACCAGTCCAGGGTAACTGAAGCACAGAGCCTTCTAGCCCTAGCTCTGGCATTCCCCCTACACAGGATGGGGAAAACTGGTGGTGCAACCTGGCCCTGTGTCCCAGTGCCTTACAACACTTGTGGATTCCTCTACATCTGGTAAATCTCTGGCTGGCTTTTTAGGGCAGCTCAAAATCCCTTTAAGCAATTACTGGTAAAGTCTGAACAAAGTTTAGTGCTCTAATATCAGTAATCTAGGCTATAAACAGAAAAGACAGCAGGGATTGTCACTATCGGAAAACATGAAAATACAGGTTGCACTTCTATAAATCAGAACACTCTGGTCCAGCTACATCCGTGATCCAGACGAACCATGGATGTTCAAGGATCAGAGAGTACCGGCATGCTGTGGGGGTTGAGGGCCAGGAGCCCAGAGCAAGGGGAAGGGAAGAGAAATGAGGGCAAACTGGGCTGCAGGAGAGGGAGGAGCTGGCACACAATTTAGCTGGGCTTGAGGCAGGGGAACAGCTCAGCTGTGCTGCAGGAGGAGCCAGGAAGCCCAGTGGGGAAGCAGTGAAGGGGATGGGGCCGGCAGCAGGGGGGGAGGGTCAAAAATTATCTCCCCTAGTCCAGCAAAATCCCTCATCTAGGACCAATCAGATCCCAAGCATGCCCGACGAGGGAGGTCTAACCTGTACCAAGTCACATGGAATATTCAGATAGAATCAGAATTAATCTGTGCTATACATTCGAGGTACTAGCAAAGATAGGTACTTCCCCATAAAAGTAAAACTTTTACATTAAGCTTCTTAATGCATTAGTGAATTGCATGTCTGACGTACCTAAATGGATGCATAGTTAGCAGTGTGAGATGCTGTTTTCTTTAGGCGCAGGCAATCTACTGGATGATATGCCATGACTCAAAACAGTCACTTACAGCATCAAAGAACATAGATAAAGGCACTCATCAGAAGCCACCTTAGCTAAGACTGCATATGTGGTTTGGTTTGGTTTGGTTCACCTTGCGGCACACCACGCGTGTTCTTGACAAGAGCAAGATGAAAGTTGTGTTAGTCCCACCACCATGACTCACATGAGTAAACCCTGCAAGCTCAGGCTCTTTATTTGCCCAGAAATGACTGAGTAAATGTCTCTTGCGGCACTGTGACAAGTAACAAGGTTTACACATTTTGTTAACTGTTGCCCATGTGCAGAGTTGCCAGATTCCACTGGTTTCCATCCACGAAGTTTTCTCCTACCAGTATTACTCAAGTGATATGCTCATAAAGCAAGGGCATGTGAAGTGAGGTGGATGCGGATTGCACGCAACACTGGATGCAGAGGGAGCACGTGATTCTCACACTCACTTGAACTGCTGCTACTGTTCAATCGGCACAAACCACAAATTCTAGGTAGGCAAGCGCTGTTAACAAAACTACCCTGTCTCAGGAGACCATCTTGATTGCAACAATCTTGCGGCCTACTGAGATGAAGGAGGACCATTCACTTGTCTACATTGCCCATCACTGCTATCAGGGCTTAAGAGTGCAATAGGGGATAAATATTTCCTGGAGTAAAATACATGAATGCTAGAGAACTGAAACTCATAAAAGAGGAAACAGAGGTGTGCCTCTCAGGAACTTGTCCCTTTGGTGTTTGTATGTGTGATGGTATATTAAAGTATTTCACTAAACAGACCGCCAAGATGAAATCACATCATCACCACTTTTAATCAACACGGTTTCTCCCAGGACTGTTTGTGTTCACAGCAGGAAAGTAAAATAATTCCTTAACTCTGGGTAAGGTAAACATCCAGCTTGGAGTTTAACCTTAGTCTAGGACATGGAGGTAGAGCTTAGCCTTCTAAAAGACAGCAGGATAAAGTCCAGGATAACAGCCATTCTTAAAACTTTTCCTCTTTTTTTTCCCCCAAAGGGTGGGAGAACCTGGCTGGAAAAGTGCAACTGTTTCTGTTAAGTTTTCTGCATCAAATGTAAACATGGGGGAGAGTTGGTAGGGGGGAAAAGCACCTATGCAAGACTGAGAAATATTGCCTGATGGCCTTTTGTTTTGGCAGCTTTGCTATGACACATCTGTTAACACACTATTGTATATACATCTTTTCTCAATTACATTCTGTATGCATTTTCTATATGCATCCCAGATGTCACCAGTATGATAAAATGCATTTTAATTCACATAGTAAAGTATAATAGGGTATGTCTACACTACCCTCCTAGTTCGAACTAGGAGGGTAGTGTAGACATACCCTATTATACTAGCTGCTGTAAAAACACACAATAAAAGAACAGCAGTCCCTGCCCCAAAGAGTTACTAGGGAAGTAAGGTCCTGGTCAGGCACATGTATCTGTTCGGGTGGACATTTCAGTCATGTGGGACTCATCTTCACTCGCTGCGCTGGAGATCGCTCTTCTAGTGTTTGATTTAACAGGTCTAGTTAAGACCCGTAAATCAATTGCTGAGGCATAAGGGAAGCAGATGGAAGCGTTTGTTCCCTTTGGCCTCCCACTGTGGGGACAGCACAGGTTTTAAAAATGGCAGCTCCCCGCTTATGCAAATGAAGCCCGGGAAATTCAAATCCTGGGCTTCATTTGCAAGTGCGGTACGCCTACATTACCCCGCTAGTTCGAACTAGCAGGGTAGTGTAGACATACCCATACGTACTGTCATGTTACACTGCAAGTCAATGCTATGCAAAATAAAATAAGAATAATGGCCATTTCCTAGAACTGGATGCTTCCTCAGGGAAGCAGTATTAGTATGCACAGTAACAGTGGATTCTAATGCGAATGTTCTTATCAAATGACAGCTTACACACACACACACACACACACACACACACACACACACACACACACACGCGCGCGCGCACACACACCAGAGCCTCTCTTAACCATGTGCCAGAAATTTAATATCAATTGAACTAGCAAATTCATGTTTTAATAGCAATTTTGTAAAATACTGTTAATTGCATTAAGATGTGTGTCTGGGAAAATACTCGGAAACATCTCAAGAATTCCTGTTAACTTTGTAAGATCCAGAATATACAGTAGTGCAATACCCTGTAGCAGATTCTGGAAGTCTTTTAAATTCCTGTTACGGTCTTTTATCATTGCTCTTTAAAAAAATGGAACACCATTAAGGGAGTGAAAAATCTCTCCACACAGCTAACGATACCAGTGACTAATAGAAATCATAACCTTGGTGCCTCACTCAAAACAAGGAGTTCAAGTCCACCTTTGTCAAGCCTATAAGCAGCATGGATTTTGAAAAGAATGATATAAGCATGCTCAGATTGTGTTGCTTTATTCTCCCTGAAAGCACTTTTACCATATGATTCCTCTCCAATTCGGCTCTCTTGTTTTGACTCAGGTGAAGAGGTTCCCATAACACATGCCAGATAACGTGAAAGGACCTATGTCATGCATTGGGCGTAGCATGCATCTTCTGCGCTGTGATAAATTTTCATGCCAAGACCTGGAGGTTGAAGTTGACTGCTTACTTCAATGGGGTCACACTGTATAACCACGAAGCCTGAGGTTAGTATGCACAGTACTATTACTGAAGTATCAACTGAGATTAGTGCTTCAGTACAGTAGGTAAGGTACACCTTTCAGGGCAGGAACTATATAGGCAGGAAATGGAGGGGTGGAAATACCGTTATCAGAGCTGGTCAGGAATTTTTCCTTCCTGGAACATACAGATTTATCAAAGTTGTTTTTCATGAAAACATCTGTTTCATTGAAACGTCCATCAGGAAGATGTGTTGGGTCCAGGATGGTCAGAGTGAGAGGAGACACACAATCCAGAGTCGCCAATAGCCTAGTGGTTAGAGCATCTAGGATGTGAGAGAACCATATCCAAAGTCCCTGCACTGCCGGATTGGGAACAGGGACTTCAAACCTAGCTCTTCCAGTTCAGTGCCCTAACCTCTAGACTATTCTGGGGCAGGTATCTTGGTGTGTGATTCATGATAAAGCCCAAACATTTAAAGGTCTGTGTTTTGAGTTGTGGAACAAAACCAAGTTTTTAACACCTTATTTTTTTTCCAAAATGCAATTGTTTCCTAGTCATTCCAATCCATCACCACCATTTTACAGATAGTGTCTGAGTTTCTCTGAGAGATTGTGACTGTCCAATTTCACACAAGAAGCCTGTGTTAGAGCTAAAAGTTGATATGATTTGAACTTAGCATATTGATACCCAAAGCTACCACCTCCTAGATGTGATCAACAGAGAGAAGCAGCAGCGGCTTAGAATGGTCACAGGCCTTGCCAAATTGTGGCTACGTCTACACTGCAGGCTTTTTGCGCAAGAGCACGTCCAGTTGTGCTCTTTAAAAAAGAGTTGTGCCATGTGCTTTGCACAAGAGATGTGCTTTTGCGCAAGAGCATTCATGGCAGCATGGACGCTCTCTTACGCAAGAAAGCACTCATGGCCATTTTAACCATAGGGGTTTCTTGTGCAAGAAACCCCTGTTGCCCATCCATACCACCTTCTTGCGCAAGAGCTCTTGTGCAAGAAGGCTTATTCCTCGTGGGGAGAGGAATAACTCTTGTGCAAGAAGCCCTCTCTTCTGACGCTTTACTGTAAATGTACTTGCACAAGAACACAGGTGCAGTGTAGACGCTCTGCAAGTTTTTGCGCAAGAACAGTCGTTCTTGTGCAAAAAGCGTGCAGTGTAGACGTAGCCTTTGAGCGTCTGTTACACAGTGTGCTAGCTACCCAGTGTCCAGCTGGACCTGTATAAATGCCAATGACTTAACGGGTTCACCAGCCCAGTACGCGAGGAAATCCAACAAGTCTTGCCTGTAGAACTTAGTATTTTCAGAAAATCCAACCCCATGTGGCATCAGCAGGTGGATAGATCTCTAATCCAACCGGTAACTTTCGGCTGTAGAAGGCAAATCTAGTCCTTTCTGACAGGACAGTCTCAGGTGCCATCAGGTTAGTTAGCATACCCTAGCTGCTCAACAGCAACATCCAGACAGGTATTCCTACAGCTCTGACGGAAGTGCACTTCAGCCACACGACGTAGCAGAGCTTATAAGTCACCAGGTACAAACAAGGGGTAAATTTCCAGAAGAGTGACAAGAAAAGGACAGACCTTGGCTTAGCTGAGAACATGCCCCCCTTAGAAAGAAGGTATATATGTGGGTGGTGGTTGTGTTACAAGAAACTAGCAGGTCTTAAAACTCTCTACATAAGCCTGTGTGGGAGGGGCCAGTGGAGAAGCACGTGCAGTGTTGTTTTGGTGAGGAGACATTATATTGTCACTATGCTCCCATTAAAGCTCCTGCACCATTTCTGTCAATCTTCCTACGCCACTTCTCTTAATGATACTCTCTCTCTCATACGCTAGTGGCTCCTACCTAAAGGATGCCATACTTTTCAAAACCTATTAATCAAGTTTCATTACTTCCAAATTGCTTTCTGCAAGCTGGTAATTTAGTAGTAATATCAGGCACTCAGAAAGCCTTAACTATCCAACATAGTCAATTATCTTATACATTTCAAAGGTAAGACCAGCTGCCATCATCAAAGGCAGGTTCCCTCACAAACCCTCTGACTAAGGAATCTATTGCATAAACAGTTCTTAAAAGCAATTAAATGAGTTTGTTCAACTAAAGTAATTACATTTTATTTCACCATTAAGTCCCTAAAAGATGACTAGCCCTACAGTATTTCTTCAGCTAATTACAGTTGCTTCAGGAAGTTTTAAAATGATACTGGTGTGATGAAGGAAAAAAAATGTTTGTTCATTGAAAATAAATTGGGAGTTTAAACACCGATTCATCTCTCCCTTTAAAAGTATAGAAATTATGAACTACATGTACATAAACTATGAACAGAAAATTGGTGTAAGTGCTTTTGAAAACTTTACCCAGCCTAAAGTAGGTTTTAAAACATTTTCTTAGTATTTAACTGCAGTGTATTTTCCTTGCTAAATTTCCTCTTGCACATCTTATGGTAATATGTAAACTAACCTGGGGTTTCTGTTACATGAGGATATGGTTTATATCTGAGCTTGGACACTGGCCATATTTGCATCTGAGCTGGAATGTGTCGTTTCCAGCTTTCAAAGACATTCTCTCTAATGTAGGAGTAGCTGTCCAAGTAAGGATCTTTGATGTTGAATGGGATTGTACTTGGGACCGTTAGCCGCTCCTGCCACAACTACCTCAGTCAGACCTCCCAGCTCCCATGTAGACATAAATCCATTTGCAAATGTTGCTTGAAGTTTCATGGTGCCCTTTCTAAATTCTGTTTCCTTTTCCACAGGTGTCTTTCTTGATTAAACATCACCTTTAAGAGGAAACATGGATCCCATAAACTCAACTGAAAAAAATTACACATCAGAAGAACTATTTAAAACAGTAACATCAAAGATTCTTGTTTCATTTACTCTTTCTGTGCTGGCCCTAATGACAACAGCTATCAATTCTCTAGTGATGACTGCGATAATTGTTACAAAGAAGCTCCATCACCCTGCCAATTATTTAATCTGCTCCCTTGCAGTGACTGATTTTCTAGTTGCTGTTCTAGTGATGCCCTTCAGCATTATGTATATTATGAATGAGACCTGGATCATGGGACAAGTAATGTGTGACGTCTGGCTGAGCGTCGACATTATGTGCTGTACCTGTTCAATCCTACATCTCTCTGCTATTGCTTTGGATCGGTACCGAGCAATCACAGATGCTGTGGAGTATGCCAGGAAAAGAACACCTAAACACGCAGCCATCATGATTGCAGTGGTGTGGATCATATCCATTTTTATCTCTATGCCTCCTTTGTTTTGGCGACATCAAACAGCCAACAAGGATGATGAATGCATCATCAAACACGACCACATAGCTTTCGCCATTTATTGCACATTTGGAGCCTTTTACATCCCGCTGGCATTGATTCTTATCCTTTATTATAAAATCTACAAAGCAGCAAAGACATTTCACAGAAGGAGTGTAAGCCGCATTGTAAGAGAGGAGGTAAATGGACAAGTGCTCTTGGAACCGGGTGAAAGGAGCACCAAATTGGCTTTGACGCACTACACAACAGATAAAACATCTGATCCCTCAGCAGACTTGGATAAAATCCATATCACATTACGAAGCCCTGAGTCCAAGCAAACCTGGAAAAAACAAAGAATCTCTAGCACGAGAGAACGAAAGGCAGCAACTACCTTAGGCTTGATTTTGGGAGCATTTGTGATCTGCTGGCTCCCCTTTTTTGTAAAGGAAGTTGTTGTTAACACCTGTGCAAATTGTCACATTTCAGAAGAAATGTCCAATTTCCTGGCATGGCTGGGATACATCAATTCTCTTATTAACCCACTTATCTATACAATCTTTAATGAAGACTTCAAGAAAGCATTTCAGAAGCTTGTGCGATGTAGGCAATGACAGAGTATTTGTTCTTATACTGAACCTGGAAAAAGTGGGGTTTTTTTAAATTATATATGTAATTTATAAAACTTCTAAAGAGAAACATTTGTTGTGCTGAGGAAAGACATACACACACCCCTTTGTCTCAGTAGCACTTTGCAGTGTAAACAGATTCTCTTGTGGTCATTGTTGTGCTGGAAGAGAGAAGTTCCATACACAGGAGAGCCTCATTCCTGCACAGAAACATATGCCACTGCTTGGCTTTAAGCATACAATTGGGCCTAGTAAACTACTTATGTGCTTAAAGTTCAGCTCATTCTTAAGTCTTTGCAGGATCAGGTCCCAAAACATCACTCGTTGATCATGCTACCTGGCTAAATGCTTAATTGCTTGCTTAGGCAAAGCCTACCCACCCTCAGTGGGTATTGATCAAGTAAAAGTCAGCCAGGATTTGGTCCATCAAGTATTTATGAAAAGGGACGATACACCTTTTCCCTTAAGGGCTCAGTCATACAATTTAGGCACAGGCTTAAGACGGGGATAGTGCAGAGTCACCCTATCCCCGCCATCCCTAGGCAGGGAGCACTCTTCAGGATATGCAACATATTGCCCCCCCCCATACACCCATCTTCTGAGGTGCAGCCAGCACCCTGCCTCTTACCACCTCCATTTGGGGGTGGTAGGAGAGGGAGTATACCCCTGGGGCACACATTGAGGGACTAGGGTCTGCCTTCCCCTTCTAGCACAGAAGGCTCTCCAACTGGATACGGTAGTCCATTGAGAATAAGCATTGTGTCCCCTCTGCCATCTCACACCCCCACACAAAGAATGGTCACAAGCTTGACCTACAGGTGATGAACAAACAGACAGCGCTTCCAGGGTGCAGTGGGGATAGTTCATTGTTTAAGTGGTGACTAAAGAGCCTTCAGTTGCCACGGAAGTGTCAGATGGCCAAGCTATGGGTATGTAAATGTCAGGAAAGGTATAGAATGTCTCCCTGCTTGTGCTCCTTCTCCAGTCCTCAAATACTAAGCACAAGCACTGTCCTTGTACTCCCTTGAAGAAAAAGGCTTCAAGGAAAAGGCACCCCTTGGAGTCCCAGCCTTCTCAAGAAGGCAGGGGGAACAGCCCCATCCCAGAGATAGCAAACTTTTCTTTGCACACCTGATAGCTAACACCTCTGAAAGACTGTTGGTCATGCCACCCCCACTGCTAACCTAACCCACACACCAATTGGGTGTGGTTCACTGTCCCATGTAGTGACATTTAGACCGCTTACAGTGAGAGAGTGAGTTTGCGCTACAGCCTAAGCTGAGCGCCAGCTGGCTTTTCACTCCAGCAATAGATGCTCCTACACTAAGCATCAGAGGTTCTAGGCTTGGTTCCGTTTGTCAGTATTATGCTAGGCCTGTGGCCACAACCAGACCAGTACTTTACAGACCAGTAATTCATAACCCGTCAGCACTAATAATATACCCATTTGCCCAGCAAAGCCATTGGCTTTATCAGCCTGTGTTCGTTACCTACCACATTCAAGTATGTCTTCTAACAGTCATCAGAACTTGGGCTAATCCTAATGTCAAAGTCAGAGCAAGCAGCAGTGCAGTTCCCAGCTAACACAGAGCGTGGTAGGTTAGGGCACCTGTTACAAAAGCCTGAAGTACACTTGGTACCCATCCTCTTGGTTTGAAAAACTATTGCTTCTGTAACATGCTGCTCTTCATTAATTTTAGAGACATATTGCACTCAAAATATTAGACAAAAAGTCCTGTGTGTGTAACCAAAGGAACACCTTGTTGTTTTTCATGTATTCTGAACTCTAGAATTAACAGCTTTTTTGTATTTTGTCAGCTTGTTATCAGCTGAGACAGCAACAACATAAAAGAGGCATTTCTTGCAAAATAACTGTTGGATTTGTGGCCTGCTGTGTTTAACTTATGTTTCTGCCACTTTGAAGTTGCTGCCAGTGCTCTGCTTCCACACCAAGATTTGATTGACATGTTACTGAAACACATCATACTAACAACTGCACGCTTGCCCCACTATTGATTGCAGCCATATATTTACCACCTTGCTGAGGAATCCAATTCAAAGCTCAGCTATACCATCTATTGTAGCCCAGATTTTACAAAAGCTAGGAAATGACAGGAATGGATTGTGGTTGTTCCAGGTAACCCACAGCACTTTACTATCATTGCAGTCAGCATACACTGACTCTGCAACCACGCTGGCCTCAGAAATAGTCTGTAATGCTCAAATCTATTATATTACAATAGAGAATAGTTGCATAGAAAATCACTTGTCCCCTGTTCTCTGCAAACAGTGCCATGGAATCCAAGTTTCAAATGGACAAACCACCAAAGGCGTCTCAGTGGAAGGACTTAACTTCCAACAGTGCAGTGCTTCTCTAGTACCTTACTCTTCAACTTGGATAGCCTGGGGTGGGACTTTAAGGCTAGGTCTAGACTACGGGGCTTTATCGGAAAAAACTAAGCAAATTGCGCTCTGCAATTTGCATAGCTTTTTCTGATAGCTTTTCCGCCATTTGGCCCAGTCTAGATGGGAACAAATGGCAAAAAAGCCTCCTCTTTCAGAGGAGCCCTTATTCCTCATGAAACAAGGTGCACAGGGCTCCCCAAAGAGCACATTTGCTCTTCCACAAAAAAAAAAAAAAAAGCAGAAGACCAAACACGCTTCCTGGACGCGGCAGGGTTTTTCCGGGGTCTATCTTCTGCTATCCCGGAAAATCCCCATAGTCTAGACGTAGCCTAAGCCAGGAGCTTCTCACCCAGAAGTCAGGGTGCTACCACCTGAGTAATCTGAGATGCACACGCTCCTCTCAGAGCTGTTGCTGAGGGCTAGAGTTTCTTATTTCCAAGCTATTTGATGACGCGTAAAAGCAGATTTGAGGCAAAAATAGGTATTGCTGTTGAGGCAAAAGGTAGTGAAGCTATCAAATCTAAAATACAAAGGCTCAGGCTCAAAGAGCAGAACAATCTATAAATAGAAGAGTTGTCATGTTTGCACCATTGACAATATTATACACAGACTTCAAGTAAGTTGCTAAACAAGATGCAGACAGAAGTGGTTTCCTTGTATTTTTTTCCTTGGTTGCATCTTGCTTATTATTGAACGCACCAGTAGCCTAAGATGTGGCTACAAGTCTATGGTAATTAGTGGGTAATTCCCCTTAAACACTTGCAGATCATGACATACTATTTTTCTAGTGGTTAGCTGCCTCCCATCACTTGCAGTTCTTTAAGAGTCCAGGATTTCCCTCCCTATGCAGACACGGTTTGTTTCACCTTTGGTATTTCTCCAACATGCTGCACATGTGTTGAACCTTAATTTCTTCTTTGAATGAAGTAGTTCTAGATCAGGTAATTCAGTCCCTCCACTGTGTACAGCCTTGCGCTTTCACTCGCACACAAAGTACACCAACCGCAGTAGGCATGCCCTGAACTGATGTAAAATTAAGGTGGTCCATTCTGTTAGCAATACATTTAAAAAAAAAAAAAAAAAAAACTATGATGTAAGGCATCAACTAAAATTTAACAGCATTTAAATCTCATCAGAATTTCTCCTGTAACCTTCTCCTATATGAAAAGGCTCTTAATAAATGAGGGAAAAGAGTGTATCTGTATATATATGTATACAGGCAGTCCCCGAGTTACGCGGATCCGACTTATGTCGGATCCGCAGTTACGAACGGGACTTTTCTCGCCCCGGAGGACTGGAGCGGCGGGATGCCCAGATGCGCTGCAGTCCCGCTGCCCCCATCCTCCAGGCCGAGAAAAGCTGCTCCACGTCTCCCTAGTCTGCTGGGGGGGAAGCCCCCCCCAGCAGACCAGGGAGACCGGGAGCAAAGCCGTGGAGCACGCCCGCAGCGGGACAGCCCAGGGAGACGGAGCAAAGCCATGGAGGACGTGGGCTCAGTGGGCATGGAATTTTCAAAGTTTTAACAGTCAAAAGTCTCTGAAGTCTGAGCTTGTGAACTGTGACTTTTCAAAGGCTCAGAGCTAGGTTTAGACAGATTTAATCTATCAGTAAACATTCATTTCACTGTGTAAACACACTAATTTACTGAAATAGTCCCATTGATCATGGAAATGTATAGCTAGGCAAGGGAAAATGGTACTTGAGAAATCAGTTTGACTAAAGAATATTTACTTTTTTTGTATTTTGACATATGTTGACAATTTGTGTTTTAACCGTTTATCTTTTTGATCTGTCAATTATGATCTGACTCCTTCCACTACCCACAACTGTGAATATTTATATCTATAAAAATATTTTTAAAAGCTTAGAAATAAACTATTGCTCATCAACAACACAAAAAATAATTGAATTTTGCCACACCTTACTCCTTGACTAAAGTTGGGTGGATTTCCACAGGGTTTGTTACCTGCCCAAAATACTGTAACACACCTTCTAATACACCCTCCCTTATGCATTCTTAGGGCTCAGGACATAACTACCTGCTGGCTTATGGGGCCTTTTACTGGTGAAAGAGCTTTACACAATAATATCCTTATCCCCTGTTAATCGCCAAAACAGAATGCACGCACTAAGCATATAATGTTTACCTCGCCCACTGAAACAGACAAACTTTTCCTGATGGCTAGTCAGGATTGGGTCCATCTGGAGGACAATGTCATTAGCACAGGGTTAAGATCTGGCAGCTCTAATCCAGGGTTGTGTCCTGGAATTGGTTCCCAAAAATTTCGTTTGAGACCCCAGTTTATATAGTGCATCTAGAGTCCTGCTTAGCTGTACCAATAACCAACTATTTTACAAAAGTTTTACTAATTCTAACATATTACCCCACTGCCTTAACTGATTTACACCTAGCAAAATTAATTTTACAGCAGACAAAAACAAAGAACCACACAGAGATCATACCAATAATAGGGAAATGAGAACCATCATAAAACTATAAAGACATGAAGATTTCACAACCCCGACTATTGATAGCATTTATCTGGCAAGATGCTTAAGATCGGTTTGTTTATCTGATGATACTAGAGGTGCCATTAGAACGAGTCTCCTTAATCTTACACTATTTTAATATAATTTAGATGAAATGTGAGGTTGTGACTTCCTGCTTCTCAGCCAATGGCTGCTGCTCTTCCAATCTGACTGCAGATTAAGGCTTTATCCTTACACTGCAGGGTAGCAATAGGGACCTCCTTGACACAAGCTACCGCCTTGCCACATTTCAAGTTCCTGCCCTAATGCATGGCCACTAGAGCTTTTCAAAGAAAAAAATCTCAACAGTTTAATGTGCAGAAACATTTTTCTTGGCCTCCTTCTCAGAAATAGCTGAACCCTTTCGGGTGATGTTTTCAAGTGTTAACCTGAGACGCCTACCTAGCATGGAACATTTCAGCCCAAATGGTCAAAGTTTGATGAAATAAGCAACCAAAAACAGGGTCTTCTATTAGAAAATGCCAGGCAACTCAATAGCTAGTGCTGCTGTCTCCTGCTATTATTATTCTTTTGAGTGCTTTCTCATATCAATTCCAGTTAGGTGCTGCCCCAAGTTTTCCCTTACTCATTGTGCAATCTATGGAGCCCCCTGGAGTGGCTTCAGTATGGTGCTCTATATATGAACCTGCTGACCCGACCACCCTCTCCACCACTTTCAGTTCCTTCCAGCTCCCATCACTGGCGGTAAGAAAAGCATGCTCTCTTGCTTAGCAGGCATGCACTGGTCCTTAGAATTTTTTCCCTGTAGTTAGTTAAGAGTTCTGTTAGCAGCGGGTGAGAGGGGGGTCTCTACTGCCGCTTCAGTATGGTGCTCTATATATGAACCTGCTGACCCGACCACCCTCTCCACCACTTTCAGTTCCTTCCAGCTCCCATCACTGGCGGTAAGAAAAGCATGCTCTCTTGCTTAGCAGGCATGCACTGGTCCTTAGAATTTTTTCCCTGTAGTTAGTTAAGAGTTCTGTTAGCAGCGGGTGAGAGGGGGGTCTCTACTGCCCA